AAACTATACTCACAGGTGAGTTCAATATTGATTTGCTGGATCAGTCCTTCAGGTCAAAGAAATTCAAAGACCTCTTAACAAGTTTTAATTTTCATCAAACTGTATTTGAGCCAACAAAAATAACAAATACATCCAAATCTCTCATAGATAATATTTTTATCAATTTTATAAACCCATATCAAGCAGAGGTTGTAGCAACTGCTCTATCGGATCACGAGGCTCAAACTCTGAGGGTCGTGAATGCGGTCTCTCCAGAGTGCAACTTCATGCCGTACAAAAAAACGCTCTTTTTCAGATAGTAAATTATCTCAATTTAAGCTTGAGTTGCAGAGGGTGGAATGGGTTGAGGTGTATTCTCAACAACAGGTAAATACTGCATACCATGTTTTTAGCAGTATTTTGGCTCAATACTTCAACCTGATATTTCCTGAGAAAACCATTAAAGCCAAACTAAGAAAACCTAAGTCCTACTGGATGACTTGTGGGATTAAAATTTCTTTAAAAAACAAACGAAATTTGTACAAAGAAATAATAAGGGGTAGTATCCCAAAAAAAAATTTAAAAAATATTCAAACATCTTAAGATCAGTTATAAGAGAATCTAAAAAAAGAGAAAATATAAACTTTAATAAAATAAATGATAATGCACATTTTGTTCATCAGACCAGAGCAATTGAATGTCATTTTGATGCTGAGAACTTTTGTTTTCCAGTAGCACCCTCGAGTTCCGGCTGTGATTTTTAATAAGAGAATATTGAAATACAAAATAGTTCTGTCCCTTTTTTGTTGTTTTTGTTCAGAGCTTCATATATCTATATTTTATCAAGAACTATCGTGCATAGACAAGAAATGTCATCAGAACTCTTCGAAAATCAATAAGGGAAGGAATGAAGTTAGCACGTCTATTTTTTTTTAGAATTTCAACTTCTACTGCAGAACTATTATTGCAAGCCTTTGAGAACTATAGAACTACAGAACTCCTCTATTAAGAGTGCGACAGGAAGTTCGCAATCCAATTTTTGTTTTTTAAAAATGTTCAACTTCTGCTGCACCCTTCGTAGAACTAAAGAACAGAACTCTTTTCAAAATGACAAGAACTAATGAAAAAGTTGAGGGTGCTAACTATTCAACTCATTCATCAGTCATTTTGAAAAGAAGGGTGTGAATGTGTAACAGGATGCAGTTTGAATTTTGTTATGAAGAATACTAAATGCTCCATAAAAAAATCAAAATGCAGTTTAAATAATAAGAAATGTCAAAGTCAAAGTCAAAAGCGAGCTTCATTGTCTTAAAACAAAAATTTTGCTGACAAAGTTGTACTGAAATAGGTAACGTCTGAAAACTAAAGCTAAAACATTTCTCAGTCAAAACAGAGAATAAAAGAACAAAAAACAGAAACAATAAGTCCTACCAAAGCATGAGAAACAAACAAAAGTTTAGAACAACAAAGTATTGAGCACACTACAAACAGGGTAGAACGAGAGGTAGAACGAAGAATCACATTACGCTTTTTTTTACATACAAAATTTAACTCATTACAATAGAAACCAAGATACATGTCACAAGCAGTCTAAAACCAAGGTCCACCAATATATCACCTCAACCAGTTACTATGGTTTGATTAAAATACTCATCAAGGTATGCCTCATTAACCAAAAAAGCCTTAACCTGCTTCCTAAAATTCCTATAGCATCCAAACTTTCTTATTTCTATTGGAAGGTGATTAAATAATTTTTTACCTTCATATTATATGAATGATCTTTTTACAAGTTGCTCGACCAGTTGTGTATGTGGTATGGGCAAACTGAGAAGAAAAGACTGACGAATATTGTAATGTTTGTCCACCTCCAGCTCAGCCCCATACTTCCCGCCTGAACTTCATGCACACAATTCAAATCAAATCAATATATTTGTGCAATTCCACATACTGTTTACACTTGCCAATGAAAGTACTACTCAATTTAAATACTAAAATAGTTTAAAACACAAGCTAAAAATTACATTAAATAAACATTTACCTTAACGAATTTTACAAACAGTTTCTTGTATAGAATAAAAAGCTTTGGAAATTAAAAAGTACTTTACTTTCTTTTTAACTTGAGACTTACTTGGATAATTCAGGGGCTCAGGAAGATTATTAAAAAGCATGACCGCATGGAACTCAGGTCCATCTTGGCACCTTTGTAACTGGTTAAAGATTGGCTGCAGGTTGTTTTTGTTTCGCGTGTTGTAGTTGTGAATCTCACTGGACACTGTGGCAGATATACCTACCTGTCATGATGGTCTTTAACATATATTAAATTTTGGAGAATATACTCATATAGCAAAGTCAACATTGTTACTGATAAATGCGTGTCTAACGTCATCTTTATAACCCACCCAATCCCGCAATAATCCTCAAAACACGTCTCTGCATAGCAAAAACCCTTTGCACCACTAGAGTGAACCCAAACAAGCATAGCTAAGATGCGAGTGAAAGATAGCAAAGTAGGATTGTTTAAGAATTTTTAAAAACATACCTACACATTGACAAATTCCTCAAGACAATGGCATTTTAACTCAATTTTTTGTAGTCATCTCAGTGTGAGCATCCCTCCCGCAGTAATTTTTGATCAAGAGCAACCCCAAGGATTATGACAATAAACATAGTCTTGGGTTTTGGGCTTGGCTTCGTTCAAGAAAAGAAAATTGGTTGAAAACCCAGTTGAAAACCATTGCTTGGCTCTCGCCTGTGCCTCCCTGGACATGTAGGTTGCTGTCTGTATGTCAGTGTGTTTGACTGGTCCTGTCATCTGCAAAATTGAATATTTTTTTCTGTTTCAGGTATGTTTGGCAGGCCGTTTTTGTAGAGTAAGAACAAAATAGGCTCTAGGATTCAACCTTGTGGTACTCCCATTCTGACTTCCTGATTATTGGACATATTGATAAAGCTGACTGCTTCTTGAGTTTTTGTTAAATAGGATTTTAATAAGATCTATGCTTTGAGGTGAAGAATGATAAAAAGGTAATTTGTCCAGTAAAATCTTGTGGAAGGCACAGTCAAAGGCGAGGTCAAAGGCCTTGTTTAGGTCACAAAAGATTGAGACTGTATGTTGTAAGTCCTTCAAACCCTCTATTATGTTTTCTACTTGAGAAGCCTATCCCTATGTGTCTCCTTGAAAGCTGTAAAACAAGCTCGTTTTTCTTTGTTTCACTCCCACTTAAGTTACGCCTTGCTAGTCTGGGGCCATGCCAGTGGAGCTCAAAATTTTTGCTATGCAAACGCGAGCTGTCAGAGAGTGGTAGCAGGCTTAAGTTACAGGGAGGAGTGCAAACCAGCCTTTATAAAACACAGAATATTGACATTATCATCAGAGTATATCCTGCAAAATCTTTTTTATGTTAAAAATCATTTTAACATACCAGCTTTATTGATATCTACAACCATAACACAAGAAATAAAAACAATTTAAGACGTAACTATTATAGATTGCAAAGGTGTCAGAATGGCCCAGGATACCATGCTGTTAAACTTTGAAATAAACTACCAGAACAGGTAATTAACCTAAGCAACACCTTATTGAAGAAAAGAATCAAAGATATGCTTATTAGTAAAGCCTTCTACTCCCTGGATGAATATTACAACTCCACACTCAGTTGGTCAAATAACAAAATGCATTCTGAGTAAAGTTATAATCTGTTTGGGACTAAAGAAAAAAAAAATCTATTTTTAATCACAACTACATGTATATATTTTCTAACTGTGCCAAATTTGTTAAATTTGTTTGTTTTATACAAATAACTGTTAAACTTTTTTGATCGTTTCAAACTGATTGGGTATTTCTGTATTTTTGTTGAAATTGAGATGTACCTAACATGGATGTAGATTTAAGTATCCCATTCTTTTAAAAAAATGTTGTAACATTGATGTACTGATCGATTTTTTGACTTGCGTAAACACTATGTATGAGTACTAGCACTAATAAAGAATTTGAAATAATGTGCATTATTAATGCACCCATTTTGTACATTTACGAACATTAGAAATGTGATCCTCAAATTTGAGGGGCTTATTGATTGCGACGCTCCAGAATTTGATGTGGTTTTGTTGAGTTACAGGATTATCATTTAGGTAAACATTTTCTAGTTCGCATCTTAAGTTAAGAACATTGGTTTCGAATTTAGATCTTTCTCTTGACCTTTGACACAGATCAGAATTTGGTAATGAGGCTGAACACAATGATGAATACAAGGTACAAGTGAAAAAAAGAAAAAAATTAATAACACTTGATCAATGCTATAACCCAGAATAAATGGATCTCGAAATGGATACAATATACAATTTACTTGCCATGCCATGATACAAAATTTCGATTTTTTGGTATTTTGTATCTATCTCTTGTACCTTGTATTTGTCATTGTGTCTTCAGCCTGAGCATTCCTCAAACCTGTACTAGGTAAGTATTTTTTAACACATATTTATTAATATAGGAAATATTTGTATTTGTTTCTGTGCATTCATTACATTTATTGAGCTTCTATTATTTCTATAGATTATTTAATTTCTTGTCATGCATTTGGGTAAATTAACTGGACAACATTATATACATTGGGGATAAAATATCAAGCCTATAATTTGTATTGTTTTGTTATTAAAGAGAAAATCGGGAAAATAAAGTGAAGTAGGTAATTAAGGAAATATGTAATAGGTACTCAATTGAAAGAAAACTTGGAAAGTATGACAATCTGGGTAGTTTGTTTTTGAAGGGAGGTGAAGTACTGTTCGATTTTCAATAAATGATTTCCAATAAACTAAGTAGGTCCCCACAACAATGCTGTTAAAAGCATTGGAATTTCAACTAGGTATCCTATGAATATGGTAAAATGAAAGCTTTGCCTATGTGAACTACTTGAGAGGAGGACTGCGGAACTATTTTCATATTGTCAACAATCCTTTGAAAATTGAATCTGAAGCGAAGCCCCACCTTGACTTGGAGAAACCAAAAATCAAAATAAACTTACCTTTAAATCTATAATAATATTAAAGTGGATTTAGTAAGAATTTCTCTGCTGAGCTACAACATAACCGGGACAAGATGAAAATGTATTTAGGATTATTATTTAATTTACATTCCCCATCCCATAAATAAGAATGGTTTCATGAGAATTTGTCCTCCAGTCTTGGTCCACTCCACTCACTTCACAGTTCACTCTTCACTTTAAAAAAAAAACTATTTAATTACAACAAAAAAGGCAGATTGGGGAGGGATGAATAATAAATAGTATTCGATAACCTAGTATCTAGTATGCGGTATACTGCATAATAGTTGTATTCCTTTCAACAGTTTGAAGCACTCGAGCTACTCGCTCCGGTGTTCAGTCGCTCCCGATTTGCAGGGAACAGATGCGTGGTATTTATTACAACCATTGATTACAAAAAACTTTTTGAAAGAAATAAGCGGATGAAGCCCCGGAGCTCTTCCGGAGCTCCTCCTAGGTGTGAAAGGAATACAACTAATAGCCGCTTTCCAGCTATGTGCTTCAAGCACGGTGCAGCACAGTGTTCTGTGTTTGAAACGCAAAAGTTAGCAGCTCTCGAAGCGCAGTACGGCTGGAACACGAACACGCGCTTGAAGCATTTGCGCGCGCAAAAGCTCGATTGCGTGCTCAAAAGCGTCAGCTGGAAAGCGGCTAATGAAAACCACACAGTTGCAGAGTTGTATTCCTTTCAAGAGCTTGAAACACTAGAGCTACTCGCTCCGGTGTTATTCGACACCGATTTAAAAGGAACAGATGCTCTGGCTTTCGTGCAAAACGGTTTGAGTCGGGCTTGAGCACTCAGGCTGTGACTCAGGTGCAACAAACACTTTTCGAAAGGAATAAGCGCGTAACGCCCCGGAGCTCCTCTTAAGCCTAGTCTCCATGGACGCGAAATCGCGAATTTTTTTTTGCGGATATTTTCCGATTGGTTGGAATTTGACATTTAACATTTGATTTTTTTATGGCGGGAAAAATTCGCGATTTTTTTAACTTCTTGCGGCGTCGCAAAAAAGTTAACTATTTTTTAACTTTCCGCGAAATTTCGCCAAAAAAAATGAGGTTATGTGGTGTTACTTTCAGTTTAGTTTTGTTTATGTTTTTGTCGGTATGTGCTCTGTTCTGTGCTCTGTCCTCTGTGAGTCGTTGATGTGTTTTGTACTTGTAGATACCTAATAAAGAATGGATACTGCCAAAGAATTGAATATTGTAGACCCGAAAACAGACATAAATTACAGCTTGCTGGTTGATGAGGAAGATTATAATAGGGCCTTAAATGTAATTAAGACAACACCAAGACACATATCTTTTTTTGTTTTTTAGTAATCACTTTCATGGTTTTCAAAGATTAGTGTTTGAAATTCAAAGCATTTAAATCAAATTCAAATTGATTACAAACAACAACACATAGGTAACCTTAACCTGTTAAATAAAACGCGAATTTCGCGCTTATGGAGACATGGGAATAATTTGCTCGGAAATAGCCACCAAAAAATGACACTTAAAAAATTCGCTTTCCGCGATTTCGCGTCTATGGAGATTAGGCTTTAGGTGTGAAAGGAATACAACTAGTTTCGGATAGTGGCACTGTGACTAGTTGTATTCCTTTCAAGAGTTTATAACAAGAGCTACTCGCTCCGGTGTTAGTCGACCCCAATTTGAAAGGAACAGATGCGCTGACTTTCATGCATTTAAATGGCTTCATTCGTGTTTTTTTGCATTCGGTATTTTGCTCAAAGAGCAGAGCGTGTTGAGCGGAGCCGTAATCACGTGACTAGCGAGCTAACAAAGCAGTTGAACGCTGTATTCGAGTGCCCGAAATTTTAATAAACGAACGCGAAAGAGCCTGCACCGAGTACACTTTTATAAACGAATGGTGAATTCAAGCTCGGAGTACTCAGATTAAAATACCGAACGCACGGTTTGATTCGGGCTTGAGCACTTCAGGTGCAACAAACCCTTTACGAAAGGAATAAGCGCGAAACGCCCCGGAGCTCCTCCTAGATGTGAAAGGAATACAACTTGCTTTGTCAATGAAAATATACATTTTTAGACAATAAAGCTTGCTTGAAATTGAAAAAAAAAAAAAAACTAATGAAAACATTAAACATATTTTTTTTTTAATAACCCTAGGTTTGTTTGTGTTTTTCGAAGTGGCCCTTCCTGCTTTGGGGTGTTCGTTTGTGTTAATGAATGGCAACTAAAGCCGCTTTCCAGCTGAACATTTTGAGCACGCAATCGAGCTTTTGCGCGCGTAAATGCTTCAAGCGCGTGTTCGTGTTCCAGCCGCACTGCGCTTCGAGAGCTGCTTACTTTTGCGTTTCAAACACAGAACACTGTGCTGCACCGTGCTTGAAGCAATGTCAGCTGGAAAGCGGCTTTTATAAACTGACGAGCGTTAGTTGAATTGGTGACGTCACAAACCTGAAATATTTTAGTTTTTTTCACGTGGCTCCGGTTTAAACTAACCGGGTTACAAAACGGTTAGTAGCAGTATGTCAAGTGATGAGGTTATTGAAAATGCCACTTGAAAACGAACGGTTAGAAAAATGTTATTTTAAAATTTAATCAATCCAATTAATTACCTGTCAAATATTTTTAATAGGTTGATTTACCTTCTAGTAACTGCACCAAAATTTCCCGTGTATCTTGAAAAAATTCCCTATTATTTATTTCAACTTTATTTGCTTCCATGTTCTTCAATTGACTATAGGTAGGTAGAAACTTTAAAATATTAACAAAACACAACTTAAGGTGAGTTCGGCTTGGCAGAACGGAGTTGGAGCGGATAATGAGCGTTTTATAGTCACATGATCACAGAGTGAAAAGTGTAAAATGGTTAAGTCGAACGCATCAGGAGCGAGGCGAGCTGCGGCCCGCGAATGTCGCGGACAATACTTACTACTTGTTTCTTGTATCAGCATTTTTTCAGTACTAAGGACCTGTTTTTCAATAGCAAATCACCCCCGGGTTAGGTATAACTACAGGGTAAACATAGCAAATGGACATGCTTACCCTGGAGTAAAAAACTAACCCGGAGGCGATTCACTATTGAGTAACCGGCTCTAAGAACGAGATTATCCCCCATCACAAACCGGAACATGTGTTTTTGCAGAATATTTGGGAAGCGTTGACATTTTTTTTTACCATCGGAGCCCCAGGATGCAACTATAAGCCCTAAGCTAAAAATATTTTTTTTTGTATTCTTGAGGTTAAGATCGTTAGGATAGTGGACTTAAATTTTACCGCCTTTTGGAAATATAGAGAGTGCGCATGCCCGCTCCTCGAGCTTCATCTCGCGAGGTGGTGCTTGTGGAGTTAACTCTTTTCACTCTACTTGGCTGTACCCGAACGATGAGGAGCTTGCACTATTTGCTCCTATTGGCCTGACCCGAACGATTTTGCAGTGAAAAATGTCAAAGGAGTCAAAAGAGTTGCCAAGCCGAACTCACCTTTAATATTTCAGTTTACACTCCCTTAAGACTAGTACTCATAACTGCGAAATTCGCATTTTTTTTGACATTGCTTCGACAATTTGACGTTTGATACACGCATAAAACGTCAAATTATCAACGCAATGTCAAAAAAATACGAATTTCGCAGTTATGAGTACTAGGCTTTACTCGTTGAGTTACTCAGAGCTGCTCAATGTCAAAAGCTTGAACGTTCCTTTTAAAAGTGCGTTAAAGCACTCCAGTCGCTCATAGTGCATCCCCTTTTCCCCTGATGCACCAAATTTGCGGGGGGTGCAAGAAGCCCTTTTAGGTAATGAAGGTAATGTTAATATTAAAAAATAATGATAAAATCTGAATTGTATGTTTTGGAGTCACTCCGAGGAGCTCGTTCGGTGCAACTCGATGTATAAAAGGAATACAGCAAGTGCAATGATCATAATTTTTCTAATGTGGCATTAACCGCATGAATATCGACTTTAGGCCGTTTTCAGTCACGTGATTTTTTGTTTAAATTTGCCATTTTTATTTATTCAAATTTATTTACTGGCTAAAATCTTGCAAAATATTGCTCATTCTGGGTTGCATCCATGTATCTGCTTCAAAAAGTATAGTAATTTGACATATTCCTGGATTCCCGGTACGTGAAAGTGGCCTATTATCGATAGATTGTCCCACGATTCTTGGTGCCAGCCCTACTCAACTACAAATAGCAAGGCTAATAACACTACTACTACAGGATAGCCTATCCTCATAAGGCTCGTGTGGAACAAATCTGAAGCCCCACACCACGCCAAATCACCAGTTGTGACGTAGACAGCATGTCCTTTCTCGTCTTGACGTAGGCTGTTTGCACTACAGGTTATGATTCCACGGGATTTTGCTTTATAAATACTTTGTTTTACTACATTAATTAAAATTCTGAAACAATTCTTTTGTACATCTCGTTTTCATCTCTCTCTTTGCCCATTATGTTAACCAAAATCAAATAATATTTTTCATCATAAATTTAAATTCTAAAATTACGACCGCTAGTGCAAACAGCTGACGACTTAGTTATGACGTGGAAATGGTGACACACTAATATCGCGGCGATTACCAGAAACGAGGCCGATAAGCAATTCTTAGTAGTGTGTCTTATCCTTGTACAATTGCGTACAAAAGAAATTTGACATTCACAATTTTTGACATGTGACAATGTTGACTGCTGATGGACGGGCTCGTTTAGCAGTTTACGCACTCCCCACTGTAGCGTACTTAACTAATTTGATTTGTTTGAAGTGTTGATATTTTTGTCCTTGAGTGTGACTATTTCAATTTCCAATTCGGTAACGAACGATTTTGGATAATAAATATTCTCACATATAAAATTGAAAGATGCCAGTCCCGGTCCCAGAAGAACCGAAATCTAGCTGGGCGGATGAGGTCGAATTAGAAGGTGGAGCATTACCCCCATCAACTACTGAAGTGTTCGACAATGGAATCAAAATTGTTACTGAGTACAAAGTTACTGAAGAAGGCAAAAAGGTGGTTATTTCGTTTCTTTTTTAATATTTTTTTGCACTGCAAATAAGCATTATACTTATACATTATACCTAGGTACCTATATAGATCAAATATTCTCTATAATCGAAGAAAAACTCGAATCAGATCATCAACGTCATTACAGATTTTTTTTTATTATTAGGCCACTGCTGGCTGCACACCTCGCTTCACACTTACTTGGTTTTTGTTGTGTATATACTGATAATAGAGGCCAAGGGCCTATTCGGGTTTGGAAAAAGTACAGTTCTAGAACGGTCCAAAAGAATCTCACAGTTTATTATTGAAATTTGTGATAGCCGAGTCGTTGTTATTTTCTTGATCAATAAACTGTACGATTGTTTTGAACCGTTCTAGAACCGTCCTTTTTCCAAACCCGAATAGGCCTTAAAATGTTTTTGGATAGGAATCAGGTGATATTTATTTTAAGTGCTCCTAAAAAGTCACAGAAAAACTTGAATCAGTTACTTAATTGGGTACCTGGTTAATTATTAACTGAATTAGGTGCAGATTTTTTTTCATTATTAGGGGACTGAGAGGAGACTACATATAGAAGTAAAGAAATTTCTGACCGCTAAAGCCTATTAAAATTCGTTAACGATGTGACTTAACGTTTTACGTATGTATTTTGACCATTCTTACTCTTAATCTTGACCTATTCTTAGCTCTTTATTGTACTGTTTTTAATTTTTAGATTTTTTTTCGAAATGTTCTAATTTAGGCACCTATACAGTGTGTCCCAAATTGATGAGGAATGTAGTAGGATATAGGAAACTAGAACAGATATGAGGGAGGTTAAATGGGAAAAGTTTTAGACAATTATGCCAGACGTTTAATAGCGTTTGTAGTTATTCACATTTTTGAGATATTTAGAAACGAGTTTAGAAAGTTGGTTTTTTGAAAATGGACTGTAAAACTTTTATTTTTGAAAATTTCTCAAATCTGTAAAAACATTTTCAAAGCAACTCTTTCTGCACACTACGCATGTGCGATTTTGCGGAACCATCATCAACTTCATTATTTCTTATAGCCTCCATATTGGATTTTTATGCCATAAAATAGAGTGGAAAAATACAAAATCAATGATGCAATAATACACTAGACCAAAATAATTAATTTTGACCACAGAAAATAGGTTTTTATCTTTCGATCAGTTTGGCAACGTCAGATTACAAAATATTTAGCATAAGGAAGTATATTTATTTATAAATACAAATGAAAAGAATAAAAATCTGAAGGAGTGATGTCAGGAGACCGAGCTGGCCAAGGAACTAGACCGCGATTAGCCATTGCCTTCTTTCCAAATGTATCATGGAAAAATTCCTGAATATTGGTTATTATTATAGCAATACCCTGTATCTTGACAATTTCAAATATTGTAACGAGTCAGATCCTGAAGTTACGAACCGTATTTAGGAGACACCCTGTATATTTTTCTATTTACTGACCACCCTGTACAAGCTATTTCAAGTTTTAATGGTTTAATATTATTTTTTCAAGAAGCAGAAACTTTTATGAAGACTAACTTTTTTTCGTAAAATTGATAATAAAAAAGTTTTCCATGTGCTGCAAACTCAAGTGGATACACTGTATATATACATATACACTAGCCAGCAAAATTAACGCACCACTTACTTATTTCTATTTTAATGAGGTTGGCATTGAAACTATGGATTGGCCAGCAAACAGTCCTGATCTCTTATCGAGAATATTATGAAATAAAAAATATTTTTCAAAATTAGGCATAGTACCTGGTTGTGCGTTAATTTTGCTGGCCAGTGTATACAGTGTCCCCCATAATGTTCACGACATATAGTTTTTATAATAGAGCATAATAGATCGATATACTTACTATGCACCAGGGTTGGAAAAAACCCGGGTTTATTTGAAAAAGTCCAACCCGTCGGGTTTTTTTTGGGTTTTTTGGGTTTTTTTTTTGGGTTTTTTCGGGCTTACCGGGGGTTTGCGTTTTTTTCTCCAATTTTAATTTTTAGTTTCTGCTTAAGCAAAAGTATTACAAAAATTATGACTTGTTACAAAAATAAAATATCCTTACAAAATAAAACAAGCCATTTGATATGAATAATAGGTCTGTTTCCACAGAAATCACAAACTCAGAGCGTTTTTGATTGTTGCAAATCGCCAACAACCAGTTTTCTGACTATTTTCAACGAATGAAATTCGCTCTGACTGGTTTGTGATTTCTGTGGAAACAGGCCTAATAATTACACTTGGCATCGATGCACTGGACCACGCTTTTTTTTTAAAAAAACCCAAAAAACCCAATAATGGTGGGTTTTATCAATTGAAAAAACCCCACTGGGTTTTATAACCTGGGGAAATTCTATGCCAACCCTGCTATGCACCGTACCAAAAATTAAAATCCAACTTGTGATATATTTTTTCTCTTTTCCTTTTTTAGCGTTATTAGGTTAAGTATTAGTTTTGTATGCTTAATTTTATGTATTTTATGTAATATTTGTACTAAATATTATGACAAAACCAATGTTATGGAAACTGTAACCCGATGGAAGAATAAATAAATAATAGTTAATAGTTATGTGATTTTCTTTTTTCAAATTCCAGTTTGTTTGTATTTATCTGTTAATGTGTTTTCACTTCCCATAATTGGAATAAGCATATAGTGATTACCTTTTTCAAAAGGCATCAATATATTTTGTTTCGTAAATTTATTTCTGGTCGTTAAAAGTTGCTAAAATATCACTGCCACCAAAAATGATAGAACTCTTGTCTACTGAAAATATTCGATATTCCTCAGATTTATTAAACACAAAAAAACAATGATCTACTATAAAACTGTGTAACTGTTTTCAATCATTTAATGATGAATAAATGAATAACGGTTCAATATTTATTTGTTTTGCGAATTTTTTGATATTTTTTATATGTATATGCTACAGGGTATTCTGTATCGTTTTAAAGCTTTTTGTAGTAATCTATATCGCTCACTAAACCATTATTAGAGAACGGGAGTGGCTTGACAGTAACTAATTTTTTTTTGTTGCTCTTTTGTTAAATTTTCATTTATAAAAATAATTTGGGGTAGCAAATGATTATTATAAAATCCAAATTACATTGAAAAGATAAAAGAAAATGGGCATTATTTTTTCTTCTTTTCTTTTTAAAATTTTTGGGCTTTTTTTTTGTCGCTCTGCCGTCCAAAGTTAATTCCACGTCATTTCTTCCAAGCGGCTTTTTTCATATTTATTTAGATTTATGTTATTCAGGAAAGAATGTCAGTAATGACACTCATTGGCAAGATTTTTATTTCAATAATTTTAAGTTTTCTACATTTTCGTTAGCGTTTAAGTCTTCATTTCTACCATATTTTTTAATATCTGCATTGAAAATGTGTATTGACTTTTTTTCTTTTTTGCCATTGTTCTTAGGAGTCCTGTTCAGTTTCAGTATTACATAATCTGGTTAACAGGTTTTTGGATATTTCTAAGTCTGGCTCAATTTTTAGGGCAAGAACATCTTTTCTTAGTATTCTAAGAAATTTGGAACATTTCATATTTGGTTTGGAGTCCAAGCTGTTCAATTTCACTTGACAGAAATAATTTTAAGCTGGTGCATTTCTGAGCTGCGTCTTTTGCTCAAGAGAAAAGCCCGTCCATAATGGGACGTACTCATTCAAAATACAAAGATAAATTTCCGATTGACGCTTACAATTTCTGAATATTTTTTTGCCTTTTTTTAACATCTAGGGGCCTTGCATCAAATAATATGAAGCGGGTAAACAAATATATCCATAAAACCCTTGATTAAGTATTGTGGAATATTTTCTGGAAACAACTCTTTTTTTAACAAATGAAAAAATATGTATAAGTTTAAAAATATGGGTATCATCCCATTGAACTTATTTTTTTATTTTATTTTAGGTTAAAATTGTAAGGACTTATAGAGTAGAAAAACGGATAGTGTCAAAATCGATTGCTTTAAGGAAGATATGGAAAAAATTTGGAGAATCTGCTAATGACAAACCTGGTCCTAATCCAGCCACCACCATTGTTGGAGAAGATGTGTATATGCAGTTTATCTCAAGTAAAGAGGAAGACAACAAACCCGAAGATGAAGGCATTGATAAACTGAAAGGTAACTGGAGTTCAACATTTTTTAGATTTTTATTTAGAACTGTGTTGTCTTATTTTCAGCTTTGGGTGATAAGAATGTGGTTAAATGTCGTAATTGTGGAGGTGACCATTGGACCTCAAAATGTCCATGGAAAGATACTATTTTGGCTGGTGGAAAATTGCCTGATGATAAGAAACCAGCTGCACCAGGAGGTAATTATTGATAAGTCATGTGAATAATGTTTCAATTATTATATTCATGTAAAATAGGACCAGGTGCTGAATCCAACAAACCGGGTGGATCCAAATACGTTCCTCCAAGCTTGAGAGACGGTGGAGCTAAAAGGACAGATGGTCCCAACATGGCTAGAAGGGATGACAATTATTGTGCCATCCGTATTGCTAATCTCAGTGATTCCACAACAGAAACTGATCTGGAAGAACTAGTCAAACCTTTCGGCCCCATTCACAAATTGTATTTGGCAAAAGACAAACAGACAGGGCTTTGCAAAGGTTTTGCCTACATTCATTTTAAATTTAAAAATGATGCAGCAAAAGCCATTGCTAGGCTCAATGGGCATGGGTATGATCATCTTATATTGTCTGTAGATTGGTCCAAGCCTATGAATAGTCAGTAACAATAAGTTTCTTATTTACAATTGAAAACTGCTTTAATTTTTTGAGGGGTGATAGTCATAATATGTCATCTTTCAAGTTTTCAATTGTACTCTATGTTTTATCGTTTTTTAATATAATTACCTATATAATCTATTGTTTGGATTTTTTTTACAGCCCTATGATACTAGTTTTGGATATTTTTCAAGACCCTATGCATAGTCAGTAGAAATTCATTCAGTTAATTTAAACATACTTTTTGATCCATTTGAAACATTTTTTTGATACTTAATTGTACAAAAGGTCAGTTAACTACTTGGATTTTCAGTAGCTACTATCACCTATATTACTCAATAATATAAAAAATAATCCAAAATTAGTAAAGACATACTACATTTTAGTCTATTGGCCATTACTATAATCGAGGTCATAGAAACCCTTTAACACTAGTTTTATTTAGGAGGTAATAGGGAATGGAGCAAAGTGTAATGGGCTGGTCAAAAGTAACCCATAAGTTTCTCGCACCCTAGTGATATGTATTATTATAATAGTGGGTATTCAGGCAATAATTGAAGTAGGCGTTCAAAAATATTTTCAACTTTAGGAAAACCAATATTCCATTTAATATTAACGCTCAGGTATTGGTACCTGCAAATAAAACGAATTGAAGTAAATCTTTTATTTTGAAAATAAGAATATAATAAACAACGAAACTCTCTATGAATACAAAATATAAATTTTGGATATTGTTGAAGATGAAAAATGATAATAAAAAAAAGATTACTAGTCCATATAAAGCTTTTGGGTAAATTTCGCTCAGCAAAGCCCACACCCAAGAAGCAGCAGCAGCTAACCCTGTAAAGTGGCCACTTTTTTTATATGAATATTCACGGAGTGAACACAACCGCAGTTCTTCCTGCGCTCTGTTTCTAGAGTATTACTGTCAATTTCAATTCCTTCTTGAGGTTTAGGTTGACTTCTATAAAACATAGAGAATTGCGAAGAATGTTTACAAGAGAATTTATACATGCTAGTAGTATCCGAAACTGTAAGCACATTTAAGTAATAAGAAATTCTACTTGCCAAGTTGACTCTAATGATATAAATAACAAAAATGGCATCAGTAATGGTAACAAGGCATACTTTTTGGGTACCAAATGGATCAAATCGTGCTGTGATAGTCATAAGATCCTCTGATCTGATCGAAGGCCTACAAATATGCATACATTAAACTTATATTGGTAAAAATAAAAAATTACCCTTTTTTAATTGGTATGAGCCTTTCTGAATGAAAATTTCCTAAATGTATCTTTAATTGCATCAAGTGTTTGGTGTAATAGCGGCAATTGGAAACGGGACATGGTATGTTATTTGTTTCAAACTGTTCCTCCATTCGATTTGGTAAAGCGGAGCCCAGTGAAAATCTTTGTTTTCTTGTTAGAGCCCCAGAGTTGTCCCCTGAAAGGAAAAAAAAAAATCTTCCAAAAATAATCATAAATAAAAAGACTTTACTTAAGTAGGTACTGACTACTACGCTACTACTCTTGTGGGATTGGTTGCAAAAATGCAACTTAAGAATTTTCTTGAGATAGTTTCAAGACAAAACTGTAGTTCTTGAAGTTGATAGATATTATATATTCATTTGGATTTTGAAGAAAAGTACGGATGAGTTGGTTGTGTTTTGCAAATGATAAATAAACAAGTGATAAGTATTTTTAATTGGGGTTCCACACTATTTCTTCGTTAATAAATTTTTATGTATTGCGACGATTTAATTTTTTTTGGAGTGTTAGTAGACTGCTATATTCTTGTGAGTCTGTTTAGTCCTGATCAAATAGTTTAAGACCGGATCAGACTTACGTGACTTTTTCTAAAACACTGAATTTGAAGTCCTTGCAACATAAATCTGTTTCACTCCAAATTGTACGATCTACTTCAAGCCTTATTTCTCTACTAATTGCAAAATTTGTCCTAAATTTACACGCAAAGGAAGCGTCCTTTAAATTAGCGAAAACATATTGAAGGTAGTAGGATATCTGTGGTAGTAGCGTGTGTCCGAAACCATTCTCCCAAATTCGGCTGAAAACTCGCGATGTAAGTACGATCTATGAGGAATGAATAGGTAGATATTATTATTGTTTGCAGTTGTTCTGATGACATTGGCGATTTTTGGGATGGATATGGTAAAGAAAATATATATTGTTACGAAATTCTATCGAGGGCCCGGCAAAATTGTTATGTCTACGCATCTAGTTATACGTCAAGGCCTAACTTGATTATTCGTGGAATTCCATTGTTTAATATTAAGTAGCATAAGAAAACATTTACAGGACAGGTTTTCAGTATTGTATTCGAGTAGAACATTTTTCCAGAGAAGTCCTGAATATAATGTCGTCTATAATTAGGTAGAGAGTATCACAGTTTTTGCGCAGTGGCAAACTTTCAGTGTTTGGTGGGTAGGGCTAGTCATTAGGTACATTCGAGCATACAAAAGGTCGCGGAGGCAGGAACGCAGACTTATGGCCGTTTCCACCAACTATTTTAGGGAAACCTTAACGATAAGTATTCCCTAAACTGACAGTTTTCCACGGAAAAATGTCAGTTTAGGGAATACTTATCGCTAAGGCTTCCCTAAAATAGTTGGTGGAAAAGGCCATTAGTGAGCCTAAAGATGCACTTAAGTTTGCGACCGCCGCTCGCGCTGTCATCTTGAAAAAATGGCGGTCAAAATCAGTTTTTGGCTTATAAGTGGTTCCTGTAAGTTTTAGGGAAAAAAGTTTCAAGAAGAAGTTTAGGAGAATGAAATTTTCTACAAAATAGCTTTTTAAACTTTTTTGATCAGGCGTATAGTTTCCGAGTTACAGGACCGAACATTAGCATGAATTTTTCAAAATCTCATATAAGCTTACATGTCACTTTTTACACATTATTTATGATTTAAACTACCTAAAGTTAAATAATGGAAACAAGGGTTATCAACTCGTTTCCACACCATCCAGGAGGTAGAGCTGACCGGCGCGTTTTTTTAACGTGGTATCCCAGCGTAGGCCTATTCCACAATTCAAACACGTTCGCTGCGACCTAATAAAATTAAAACTTGACCCGGTGGCTGATGTGATTTTTTTGAATTTTTTGCTTCCACTACGTTCAAATCCGACAGAAAAATAGATAGAACTGCTATCCCCCCCCCAATAAATCCAACTGGATCATATATTACAGGTTAACTCGTTATTTGGGATTCCCCCTTGATACTCGATACGAGACGGATCAAAGACAAACCAATCTCCTGGATAGAAGCGACTCATTGCTTGACACTATAGCAATCTTCCAAGAGCTCGAAGCAGATGTGAGTGCTCTTGCTGCAGCTGGAGAAGCGTTTCTATTGGCACTATGGTGGATCGTTTGAAAAGGACACATTGGATTCACTTCGATACCAGGATTTCACGAAGTCTGTGTCTAAGAACAAATTTAATCTTGCGTCTCTGCCACCCACAAGAGATGCTGCAAGGCAGCACTGTTTGCGAGTTTATCATCAAGTGGCGATGTGGTCTAGCAAATAATTAGATCCTGAGCAATATGACTGGCGGAAAACGGCAAACGTGCTCGATGCTGTTCGGGCTATGTCAGAAGCAGCTCCAGACGCTATTTTGCAATCGATATCCTGCAAATGTAGAAAAGGCTTTGCAGGAGCGCGTGGATGTCGGAAAACAGGATTAAAACGCTCAGTGCTGGTGTTTATATTGTAACGGCACTTCATGTGAAAACATTCCTGAGTTGATGCTTGATTCCGATCCTGAAGACCAACCAAACGACGCTGATAATGAATTCGATTCGTTGAGGTGGGTATTGGAGGAGACGGAAGACAAACAAGACTTGACAAATACGTAAGTACTGAACAGAAAAAAGCAGGAACATTTCGACACAATGCGACGAAAAAGTGCATTAAATTAATCCGTCCGCTGCTAATTGACGACTTAGCTCCCAAAATCGTTTCTGCTGCCTGCCGTGAGCACACCAGGCAAGCACTTTCATTACCCGTTGACACACCAGATGAGGTCTATGGATGTGAAAAATTATTTTGTTTCGTCTTTGATCCGTCTCTTATCGAATATGAAGGGGGAAACCGTAGGGTGACCATACGTACAGCATTTCGCTGTCTTGTACAGCATTTTGAAAGTCTGTCCAGCATTTGATTTTGTACAGCAAACGTACAGCGATTGCGATCATAATTAGGTTTTTTTTCAAAATTGTACGAAAAATTGACCGCTAAAAAGAAGACACAACAAATTGGACAATCAGGAACCATTCTGCAATAATTGCAGGTTGTACTTTTTGACTTTTGCGGTATTTTTGGTATTGAGTCTTGGGAATTCCAGAATAATAATTAAATGGTTGGGAGTTATGTGTTTCCTATCATCATCCAATTATTTTTTTTTTTTTTCAAACAATGGTACTAAAACGAGCTACGCCTCGTTAAAAAAATCAGATCTCGATCACCAAAGTATTTCGCGCCGAGTTGCAAACAATATTTTTTCTACAACTCCATTTAAATATCGATCATTCGAAGCTAAAATTGCATTTTCAAATAAAAGTAGGTGAATTTTAATTATTTTTGGTTTCCTGACAGGTATGTGTCACCATGACACCTAATGTGCGAACTAGCTATTTCGCGCACACGTGCGCGAAATAGCTAGTTCGCGCACGGCGCCATGGGAACGTTAAAAAATCAATACCTGGGAAAAAAAGTGTGACTTCGCAAACTGTCATGAGTGTGCGAACATCATCATTTTTTGACAGTTGTAGAAAAAACTTATTAATTTAATAAAAAAAAACAAACTAATTCTGAAATGATGTGCTTTATTCTGAAGACCATAAAATCGAGAACTGTTAACAATAATTTGTACGTGTGATGTACTATGGAATGTTTGAAGTTTTTAAACATAAAGTAACCATTAGTTTGTAACTTGACAAGAAAAGTTCAGTTTAAACCGAAATAATTTAATAATCAACATTATTCTTTCAATAATTCTCAATGCTGATATTTGTGTGTGTCAGCTTATAATTTAAAAAGTGACATCTGTCACTTTTCCGCACTAGTGCGGAAAACTAGTGCGGAAAAGTGAAACTTTCTAAACTCAAATGCGTGCGGAAAAGTGCACTTTTCCGCAAGCTGGTAGAAAAAGTACCTTTTAGCTTTGTTCGGGTTCGAAAAAAGGTCGGTTCTAGAACATTGGGTGTCTCCCTTAAAAATGCTACGTATCGCTTCAGCCAATGTATCTTCATCAACATAATTCTCATTCACATGGAAGAGGTTTTTTCTCCTATAAATTGTGCTTCTTGACACTCCTAACATTTAAGAAATATCTTTCCAATCAATTCCTATGCTTCGCAAATGAAAAATTTCATCTCGATTTATATCATAATGGGGTCGGCCAGATGATGCTGTTGGTACTGTATAGCAATTTCCAGCATTACCTATAGCTGTTTCTACAAAACACACATTTCCATTTACCTAGTTTATTCTAGCAAATTAAAATAAGATAAGTAGGTAGGTACTTATACATACAAACCTTCTGAAATGACTCCAATTGCTGCAACAGTGTCCAAACAATTTCATAAATTTTAGCTAAACTTTAATTCTACGTTGTTAGACAAAATAGGGAACCTTAAAAATACAACGCTCACTGTGTGACAACAATTTTCGAAATGACTTGCACATTCTTCGATTAATCGAATATGCAGAGGTTGTACAAGTAATTGTTGACCTCTTTCCACTTCCGCCCAATTCCCGGAAAAAATCGCACAACACAACCTCAGTTATCATTCACCAATATGACAATACATATTTATTATCAATATTAGCAATTATCAATGCACCCTAATTGCAGCTATTTAAATTACAATTCAACGGCCGTCCAAAATACCTTATTTCAATCCAACACACCATACACAAACAAAAATTATGATCAAAAGTAGCGCCATCTCTCGGAGACTTTTCAAACTAAAAAGTTTTATATCGAACTTTGCACGGTGCCAAATTCAATATAAATAATATTTTTTCAAAGTTTTATAAATATCAAATTTTGCATGGGGCCAAATTCAATATATATATTTTTTCAAAGTTTTATATACCTATATCGAACTTTGCACGGTGCTAAATTCGATATAAATAATATTTTTTCAAAGTTTTATAAATATCGAATTTTGCATGGGGTCAAATTCAATATATTTATTTTTTCAAAGTTTTATATATATCGAACTTTGCATGGTGCTAAATTCGATATATATATTATTTTTTATTTTAAATATATGCAAAATGCTGGTCATTTTTATCTATATATTGTTTTTCCTGCAAAATATTTTATATATAAGACGAAATAATTATGGAACATATGGCGCCCCATATCACATTGCATTGTGTGTTTATTTAGATATTTGAATTAAGTTGATGGTTGAAGCGTAGCTAAAGCTAAAGGCGGTTACATACGGACGTGGATGTCTGAAAACATGTACGCACATACATGAACGTGCAAACAAAAACATCAATATGTATGCAAAATACCGTTGCGTTTTTGAATGTGCAATTTTGTATGCACACTCGGAATACTGTAGCAAGAATAGCAAGACTGCAGTTTTGTGCGAGCGTCTGTACAAAAGCGCCATGCACGTTGTTGTTTGCACGTTGATGTATGCACGTATGGGCGGTTACACACGGACGTGGATGTCTTAATACATATACGTGCATACATCAACGTGCAAACAACAACGTGCATGGCGCTTTTGTACAGACGCTCGCACAAAACTGCAGTCTTGCTATTCTTGCTACAGTGTTCCGAGTGTGCATACAAAATTGCACATTCAAAAACGCGACGATATTTTGCATACACATTGATGTTTTTGTTTGCATGTTCATGTATGTGCGTACATGTTTTCAGACATCAACGTCCGTGTGTAACCGCCTTATATGTATTAAGACATCTACGTCCGTGTGTAACCGCCCTAAGAGTGAAGTGATAGATAAGTAATTATTAAAATTTGGGTGTGGCCCAAAAAAAAATTTCCTCCTGCGTGCGCTTTCCACGATTCCCCCAAGAGCAGTTTATTTGCCCCCCCCTGTGGCAAATTCTGCGGGCGCCGTTGCCAGGTACAGGTACAAAAAAGTAAAAAAAATATCTTAAATTGATAAATATGTAGATGAAAATATTACCTTTCATCTCGTAGAAAAAATAATGTTCCTAACTCGCGCGGAAAGTATCTTTTCCGCACTTGATTGCTTGCCGAACTTCGCTGCGCGTCGCTCGATAAACTGCAATCGCGTGCGGAAAAGTGGTACTTTCCGCACTAGTTAGGAAATACATATATTATTTTAACTTAGAATAGAGTTTATTCAGTTATCCGAAAATATACATGTATAAATACATTTCTCCTGGAGTGATTTTTCACTGGAAAATTTTGAAATTTTCTTCTAATGAGCTCCTCACTTTCCTCTTTCTCCTGTAAAAATTTCAAAATTTTCCCGTCGCCAGTTTTCCAGAAAAAAAATTAAAATGTAAGAGGATGAATTTTCCTCAATTTTCCCTTAATAAGTCAATTTTCTTTGAATTTTTCCTGGAATGATTTTTTACTGGAAAATTTCGAATTTTCCCTGTAATAAGCTCCTCACTTTTCACTTTTTCCTGGAAAATTTTCAAAATTTTCCCTTTGCCAGTTTTCCAGAAAAAAATTAAAATGAAAGAGGGTAAATTTTCCTTAACTTTGCTTAAATAAGTCAATTTTCCAGAATTTTTCCTCGAGTGACTTTTCATTAGAAAATTTTAAAAATTTACTTTAATGAACTCCTCGCTTTCCTCTTTTTTCTGGAAAATTTTCACAATTTTCCTTTTGCCAGTTTTCTAGAAAAAAACTAAAAAAAAAAGAAAATGAATTTTACTTAAAAAAGTCAATTTTCCAGATTTTTTCCTGAAATGATTTTCCACTGGAAAGTTTTGAAATTTTCCTATAATAAGCTCCTAATTTTCGTCTTTCTCCTGCAAAAATATCACAATTTTCACTCTGCCAATTTTCCAGAAAATAATTGTAATATAAAAGAATGAATTTCGCTTGAAAAAATCAGTTTTCCTAAATTTTTCCTGGACTGTTTTTTCACTGGAAAATTTTGAAATTTTGCCATAATGAGATCCTCACTTTCCTCTTTTTTTTGAAAAAATTTCACAATTTTCCTTTTGCCAGTTTTCTAGGAAAAAAATAAAATGTAAGAAAATGAATTTTGCTTAAAAAAGTCAATTTTCCAGAATTTTTCCTGGAATGATTTTCCATTGGAAAAATTTGAAATTTTCCTATAATAAGCTCCTCACTTTCGTCTTTCACCAGAAAAAAATTGAAAAACTTTGATATTTCTGTAAGAAACTCGAGTTCGAACTGCGATTATCGTCTAGCAATTTTTCAGCGATATTTTCAAGACAAAACCTTCCATTTTTTTCCCGCATATCGAGTTTTTTCACATCAGCGCGGTCACCGTTTTAAAGTTATTATACATATTTATGGACATAAGGCAACGCCGACTAGCCATCAACTGGATCCACGTTGATTACGGCGAGCCTACCACTCCGATGGAGCCCGGCTCGAAAAGTCTGGCTCCATTTGGGGGGTCAAAAAATATACATGGAATAGGTTTTCTATAAGTGTTAACTATAATATTCTTTGCTCTAGGTAGTTTAACTCATACACAATGTGTGAAAAATGACATGTAAATACCAGCTTATATGAGATTTTGAAAAATTCATGCTAATGTTCGGTCCTGTAACTCGGAAACTATTCGCCTGATCAAAAAGTTTAAAAAGCTATTTTATAGAAAATTTCATTATCTTAAATTTCTTCTTGGAACTTTTTTCCCTAAAACTTACAGGAACCAACTTATAAGCCAAAAACTGATTTTGACAGCCATTTTTTCAAGATGGAGGCGCGAGCGGCGGTCGCATGAGGTCGCAAACTTCAGTGCATGTTAAGGACATATAAGTCTACCTTCCTGCCAAGTTTCAAAACTCCGCGACCTTTTGCACCAAAACCAAATTTTTATGTATAATGACTGGCCTAACCGCGTAGTTAGTCAGTTTGAACTTAATGTCTTATTGCTGTGTCGATGGAAAACCTAATTTTTTACATATGTACCGACAGATAAAGTGCCTTGTTACAAATACTTACTCACTGGAGCCCATTCCTGAAGAAGAGAGATGCAAGCTAGGTAAATATTGTTACATTACTGTGCTAACGCGGGTTGCACACATAATAGACCAAATAATATAATTTTAGGTAGGGTCAAGAAAAATCGAAATCTAATTTTTGTCGCTATTAGCCCCAGTCCCCGAGCAACCACTTACGGTCAAAACACAATGTAAAATTCGCGAAGTAGAGAGATCTTGAAGTACAGTTATAGCGGCAATAAGAGAATCCAGATTTTTGAATAACAATCAAGCTTTTGGGAATGAATGAAAATATCTTCAAGACCATGCTGCAAAGAGTCTGACGTGATGAAAAACAAAAAAACTTCCCGACCCGAAAAAAAAGGGGTCCCTAAGTCCCTACACTGCTCAATCCTCCTGGTATCTTGAATACGGAGGAGTTAATGTCGAAGGCCATTTTAGCTAAATCTATAATAATAATAATGATGATAATGTCATCAAGGAAAATGAAATATTAATTGATGTCGCTATCCTCAACACCAACAACTTATAACACCACCAGACATCAGTAGGTGCCCAATGATTTTGTCAATCAATCAATCAATCAATCAAGTTCAATACTGGAGTGATACCATCAAGAAGGCTCCCGAATAACACGAAGCTTTCAGGAATCAATAAAAACAAACTGCAATACCATGCAGGAAAGAGTTTCACAGACAGATTCACGATTCACCATAGCAATTCCATTGTTTTTTGGTAATTTCCAATCAAGAATTGAGTTGTTAGATAGGTGATAGGTAGGCAGGTACTTATTAGGACTATAATACGATTTTGCAAGATAAACTACTGTGTAGGTAGAGACTATAGAAAGAGGAATAACAATAAGATATACTTTTCAATGGCAAATCTCTCAAATTATGTAGTATAGGTGATAAAATAACATGCCAGCCTCATATAGAGAAATAATAAAAAAACTAGTTCTGTGGATTGGAGCTGATGCACATATACCTATTTATACTCAAACTTATTTCAGAATTCAACAAGAAAAGTTATTTACATAGGTACTGTATACCATTGTCTTATAGGAACGCATTTGAGATTACCTGATTCCTTGTTAGGGAAATACTGCCACATCGAACATTGATCAGCTAATGGTAATCCAAAAAAAAAAAACTAGGTAGGAAAACAATAGTATATAATTCACGTTCTACATAAAATTCCACAATCTTCATTTTAAAAAAAATGTAGTAGGTACGCCACATCCTCTATTTTGAAAATGTGTTACATGTGAATTGGAGTGGGAAAATGCGCTTCTGGATTTTTACTTGAAAAAAGCCCACATCTAAAAATTTTTTAAAAATAACAGGCGAAACATCTTTTATTTTTTGAAAAAAAAAGGACATTTTGTAATGTGAATTTTGCGTTCAAATAACAGTGCCTGAATTTTTCCTACCGCAAAAAACAATCCCGTTCCTGAATTATCACACTTACAAAAATGTTACCACATAAATAATTTTTGTGGCAAACGAGATTTTTTTTTCTTATCGTCCAGAATGCACCAGTTTAGACAAAACATTGATCTGTGCGCAATCGAAATTTGGAAAAATATATTATTTTTGGCATGAGAGACCCACTCAAGGAAAAGAATACTTACTGAAAAATCTGGAAAGTCAAACAGTTTAAATGTTCTACAAATGTTTGAAACATTCACTGAAAAATTCACATAAACATATTTATAACACACATGACAAAGTTCTTATACAGGTATAGGTGCCGATGGTGGGTACTTACAGGGTGTCCGGTTATAATTTGACACCCCACTTGCAGCCGAAAGGTGTGAATACAAATTGAAGTTGTGGAGTTCAACTAAGTTTTTAGAATTCATGGTCAGAAACAAAAAATGAATGTCAGAAATGTGAAATTTTGCATACTTTTAACTTTTTTCCAAAGGGATGCCCTATATTTTATTCTATATTCAATTTTCCCATATATATTTTTGGAATCGGAAAACTGTGCTCTTCAAGAACATAGAACCAAATATAAGGCATTCCATTTGGAAAAAGTTGAAAGGACGCAAAATTTCAAATTTCTGATATTAAATTTTTGTTTCTTATGATGGATTCTAAATATTTAGATAAAACTGCACAACTTTTGTAGTTACACTTAAAGATGAAGGTTGCCGGTGGGGTGTCAAATATTATAACCCAGGCACCCTGTAAAATAAATACATATACTGAAAATGTTGTCCTATACTTACCAGTTGCAATGGCATCTTGTTTGGCTTTTAGTTCCTGGAACCTTTTAGCAGCTTTTTCCAGAGTGATGTTACGTTTAGAATCAACTTTTACTTTACAAATTGGGCACTTGGAAATTTTAGTTTGGCAACATCCACAGACGCTATGCCCGTTCGTGCATATGTAAATTTTTTTGTTCATGTAAACAAAGCATACTGGACAGGTGAAATACTCCAATAAACTATCGTCCATCATTGTGCTTTCTGTGTTAAAAAAAAAACTCGATAAGTGAAGGATCTTGGAAAATGTTTGTTATGAATTGGGATTGAACAATTAGGTACCTATTATATTTCTGATATTTAGGTGAGGCCACAGATTACCTATTTTAAATATCCCAGTTTAACGTTAATCAACAAAATATGCTATCAAAATACGAAAAGGTAATCCCCAAGTTTTTTATTTTCGCAGTAGGTAGGTAAGTTCTGGCATAACCTAAGATAAGGTGAAGTAACTGAAGCCATCGATGATAATTTTTAAAAAAAAATCACTTGCTAGTGTGCCATCCTAATACCTATCACTATTTCATTGTGCCAGCTATATCCCATATGTCTCTGTATTACAAATATGCAATGTTTGCCATCAACACGAAAAAACGGCAAATTTTAGATCGAGAAGTGATGGGAAAATAGATGTGATCGGCTATTGTTTATTAATTATTGAGTCTGAGTATCAAGTTTGAAAAATCGCACGTCATCGCAGGCCGTATTTATTTTTCTAAAAAATTACATTTTACTTTCAAAAAATCAAGCAATTGCTTGAAGGTATGTATGTATATGCATAAGAAAAGTGAAGGAAGAGGTTTTGTTTGCTTAGTATAACGTTTATCTCGTATATATAAAAAAAAGGCATTTGCATAAAAACTTAAAGATCTGCTTCTAAAAAATGCATCTTTGGGTCCACAAAAACTTCTTTCATTTTACACTAGTTTCCCAGCCAGCATACAGCTTGTAACGTAAAATGTATGTGTTTCAGGGTCAGTTTTGATGTGTTTAAATCTATCTGGAAGCGTTTATAAGGGATTTTTCCATTTGGATGTCTGGTTCTAGTCTTATGTTTGTCATGGCATTTACGTACAAGAAAATATTACAAACCCGTACACCTCGTGAATCAGATTTCAAAACATGATTTAGATTTGAGGAGGACAATGTGGTTCGTCTCCTATACCAGACCACATTCTGGGAGTTGATAGTTGATCCAGAAACAGCCCTATTAATTGTGACCTGTGCAGAAAATGGAAGTATATCCGGCGCTATTGTGCGAACCCATGATTCGAGCGAAGTTGGTGAAGAGTTGGGAGAACTGTGGTTGGGATGTAAGCAGCCTTCTCTTCTGCTTCTAACTTTCACTTACACCTTTCACATCAAAGTAAATGCTTTATTTTTATAAATACGGCCTATGGTCTTGGACTCATTTTCTTCAAATAGAATGAGGGTGGCCTATAATAAGCAAAGCTGTTTCACAAACAATATCAGTTAATTCCTTGCCTTGAAAGCATTTATAGAAAAACTAAGGTGGCTTAATTGAAAATGAACGACAAACAATTTCTTATATTGTCATAGTTAACCTGTCCGTTTCCTCAAAAAATTAGTTTAGCATGAAGTTGTTCACGGCGTCACCTACTTCTTTTAAAAATGCAACAAATGTGGCTCCTGAGCACATTTACAAAGTCCAGATTATTAATTACTCAATAATCAATAAATCATTCGGGAAATAGACAGATTCAGCATCGCAATAAGCCATTATTGTAATTTCAGACTATAAAAAACGAAAGAATATTATCATTAGGGACATTATAGGTGCTAGTACTTCTGCTCTCATTTGAGATGAGCCGTTAAAAATAATCAGGGGTTTGAATGAGTGCTCTAACCATATCATACTTAAGTATAGACCTTGGCCCATGCAAAACTTTGACGACGTATGAAATTCGTTAATCGAGAGCAAAAGTATCGGCCCTAGGTATACTCATGGCCCTATAGATTACCATCCATTCAAACAATCAAATAGTTTGGAAGCTTGAAAAGTTGAACATATAGATGACTATAATATGATTGTATTCGGAACGTAAATTCTATCCAAATGTAACCAGAAATAATTATATGGGCTGCTCCACATGAAATAAGAAAATTAGCTTCAGAAACTAATCACCTATTGAATTCGTCAAACAAAGTAAATTTATGCCATACCTATATATGTACCTACACACCAAATTTAATTTTTTCATCTATAAAATTTTAGTTGTAGGGGCATGTCACCATCCCTCTAGCAGTATAGGAATTTAATATTTAAATTATTACTTTTTCAAAAAATACATTAATATTTTACTCACCAGCCATATTAAAAACCGAAAACACCTCAACAATTCAAATGCTTGCTGGTTACTGCTACAAAGGTATTTTGTTTAATATTGTAAATATAAAAAAAATTTGAAACAAAAAAAAAACAACAATTTCTGTTTCGCTTTTCAAGTAGGTAGGTAGGTAGGTAGGTTTAATGATGGTAGGTTAATATGAATACCTTGCAACTATTATAATATAATTACAGAAAGTTCTTGTAAATAGTAAATAGGAACCGGGAATAGAAAATTGCGGCTTGCGGGCCAAGTCCAGGTAGATGAAAATACTGGCAAAATTGCGTTCCAAGAAGCGTCAACCTCATGAACTTCCCAATTTTAAGAAGACATTATCTCTTTCCAAATTATAAAAACAACTGTCAACCCTAATTAATTATTTTTAAAGTACCTACATGGAATAATGCCCTGATCAATAATTATATAACTAGATAAAAGAATATCTCCAAGATATTTCGTTGACTTTTCCACTGCAATAAAGCCTTTGATGCAATCCTAGGTCTGGATCTGGATGAGGGTGACTCTTTTCGTTCGTTCGTTCCTGACACTTTAGGCCCCATTTGTGCATCCTCCCAAGTCCTGCCAATCCATTCAGGCCAAATCCCAGCCGCTTTAAAAAAGATGGAGAGCCTGCCCCAGAAGGCTTCCCTAGGTCATAGAAACACATAAATTTGCAACCTTTCCAGGCAGAGGGCCCGCCGTTGCCCGTTATGTACCTGCCATGTGAATTACTACTGTTAAAATTATTGATATAGGCAAGTATATTTTTGGTAGGATGAATTATGATGGCAGTAAAGTCAAACGATACAAGATAAATCAACAGAATTGACGATTATTTCTACAGAAAATCCAATGCCTATAGGATACGTGATTTTTTATATGGGTGGCGCCTTTCAGTATTGTATCAAGTGCTTCGCCCAGTTATGAATAATGGAGTGTAATCCAAATAATATAAATGAAATTTTGGGTCTTTTGTAAAACCGGAATGTTTAAATTTGGAGTAGTGTCAAGCTCAATTTATAAACTCGTCGTCGGGATTCCGTTTTCGTCTGCGTTTGCGTCCGCCTCGCTGGTTACCGTAGTCTCTTAAACAGTAAACACTTCGGATTTAAAAGTTATATTATGAGAACATATCAAAAAGACAATCACAGAAGTTGAGTCTCCAGACGCGTCGAGATTTAATTTATCTTCATAGGCATTAACTCGCCGCAAGTATTATAACTCTTGACAGCATCATTCTCTGTGAGTTCTTTGAGCGCTAAGTACCTAAGCCTATTCTAGACCCACAGTGATTGTGCTTGGCTGCTTTGGCCCTTTTCCAGGGAATGTCATAAACTAAGAAAGATTTAAGTCTGGCATGCCAAAGACATGACCAGACTAGATGAGTATTGCTTCAATGCTGGTAGAATTGGGTTTCTCAAGGGTACTTTCATTCGGGCATCGGGCAGGGATAGGAAACAAGGTAAGTATGAGTCCAAGAAGACGGAAATGGTCAGTGGACTGCTGGCAGTTCCCTATTCTGCAACCAGCCAGAGCTTTTATTTAGTGTTACATAAATGCTCATCTGCAAGGACAAAAACATATGAGACCCTAACTATTTCATGATCACTCTAAAAAAACTTTCCAGCGCCAAAAATAACTCCTATAAACTAAACTTAAATAGAAAAAATTCTCACGATGCAATAATCAATTAATTCAACATAAATAAATGTATTTATAATTATTCATTTTTCACATATTTCCATTCCTTTCATCATATTTTAGGGTTTTATTTTGTTTATTATTTCTATTTCTATTGTGGTTATTCAGGATATTCGATTTGTTTGGTCCTTTATATATTTTTACTTCTCCAGGAGCTTGATACCTATAAAAAGTACAAGGAAAAAAACTTTTAAGAATAAATAAAAATAACTTACCCTAATTCCTGCTCCTTCAATTTTTCTGAAGACAAATAGATAAGTATCATTGGTATCTTCCTTTTCACATTTGACTCATCTAGTGCTAGTGAAAGTGGATCCCGGCAGGATTCATCAACTCTTGAAAACAACAAAATTGAGTACATATTCCTCGACATATCCTATTATTAAAATATCATCAATTTATTTTGAAATTATCCTGCACATGAATATACACCTTTCATCACATCTAGATGCCCTGGAAACTAATAAATGTCTACATACTTTTGATAACATATTTTAGTAATTTGATGCAACGAGTTTTTGTATTCCTTTTTCATAATCTCTGCACAAGTTATTGCCTTTCCAACTGATGTTCCTACTCCAGTCCAAATAACACTTTTCGAGTCTGGGAATTTATTTAAGGCATATTTCAAAAGGAGCGTAATTGTGCTACCACGTCGGACCTGTAAAACAATATTTTCATATGAGAAAGTGTTTTTCTTATGAAACTAATTTCCCTAACTACTATGCTATGTTTATTTGAGAAAATTAACTTGATATTTTTAGAATACTACTCTTGTGTGCATAGAAATCGGCCCACTGCTAACTTTTGATTTCACCTATTTTTTTTTAGAAACTATTCATAGGATTATTATTTTATTATAATACATAATTTCAACTCATATGAGAGGATATTGAATTATTTTACAAATGGCATATTAGATATTTCTTTTTTTAATCTCATGAGTAGTTAATTCTAAAGAAAATAGTTCAAAGTTAGCAGTGGGCCGATTTCTATGCACGCTAGTTTAGTTTTGAATAGTGACGATTTCTTGAATAAACCCTTGGGTCTCTGCTTTAAACGGCTTTGTGGTAAATTTCAATTGTGCAAATTGAAGTGATTGTAGAAAACAGATATAATAGTAATGGACTGTATAGTCCCCGCCACAGATAATCGAGATTCCTACTAAAAATGATTTCTTTGTCGGCGATGCCCGGATAAACAAAAACCGCTGCAAAAACTCTACAGATAAGGGTTGAGAATAAATTTAGTCCAAGAACATCAATTTATTGTAGGAATCTGGATTATCTGTGGCGGGGACTATACCGATTGTATGAAATGGTTAAACCGGGGGTTGAACCCAACCTAAGCTGATAAGTAATGCAATATATAAGAGATAAAATATAGGCCTTGTCGAAAACCATGAACAACTTCAACTTAACTAGATTAGTAAACAAATCTTGACGCCACAAGCTTATTTACCTGCATCAATAGGCAATTTTTTGGAATACCTGGAATAAGAACTTTGTTTTTGTGAAGAAGTTCCTCTACATTTCTTGCTTCGCGCTCATTTTCCATTTCCACAAAATAAATTATTTACTTATTTGGTCTCGTAAAAACCTCTCTCCAAGTATTCAGAATTTCACATTCCTCAATTCAAAAAGTAAATAAATCCGGAGACCACTCCTATTGGTCAGTCCACTGTCAAGAGAAGTGACATATTTCAGATTTCATTTGACAATTCAAAACATTTGAAATCAGGAGTGCGTTCGAAATCACCCTGGGCGTCACACCGAGTGCACACCAGCCATGAATAGTTGTATTCCTTTCAAGAGTTTGAAACACTCGAGCGAATACCGGTGTTTAGTAGCCCTCGATTTGCAGGGAACAGAGTCCCCAAACACTTTTCCAAAGGAATAAGCGCGTGAAGCCCCGGAGCTGTTCCGGAGCTCCTCCTAGATGTGAAAGGAATACAACTAATAATTCATAGCTGGAGTGCGTTTAGAAATGGAGTGTGAGGGAAGAGTAGCTGTTTGTCAGAGTTTTCTGACGTCATCACTTGGTGTGCACTCTGGGTGCGCTATTTTTGAACGTATTGGGGCGTTGTGGTAAAAGTCAACGTCAAACTCGGTAAAAACCACGGGGCGTTTTTCAACCCAGTCCCTGAGTAGGGTAATTTGGGCGTACTCTGGGCGCGTCAACTCTCGATTTCTGAACGATTCCAGCGTAACGCTCCGAGTAAGCACTTGGTAATTTATGAACGGTTTAGAGTTACTCTAGGGTCAGTCTCACACCCAGAGTGCTGTTTCTAAACGCAACCCTGGTGTGCACTCGGTGTGACGCCCAGGGTGATTTCGAACGCACCCCAAGAGGGAGAAGGAAGTGGTATACATTTCTTCGACTATCCTCTGCTGCTTCGTCACTATTCCATTTCATTTTTGATTATTTTCTGTTGTCTAGTAGTTTGCTGCGCTTTGCCGTGGGTTTTTTTTCTAATATTTTCAACGGTGATTTGAAAAATTTTCGTATCATTTGTTTGAATAAATTATGATACTCTCCTTGCTGTTTTCTGTAGGTAACTAATTTCACAATACAATCGTCCGAATGGTTCTTCGGCTTCTTCCATTATATATTATACTACCTCTTTTACAAAAATAAATATGTTGCATTGGCGTGTATTTGTAGCCAAAGGAATGATGAATATTATCTTCTTGCGAATTACAACAAACAGAAAACAACAAAAACAATTATTTAAGACTATAACCAAAGAAAACATATAATATAAATATAGTAATGCCAAGCTAACACTCTAACTTTGCACCGAAATATAAAGTAAATATTCCTAAAATGAATATTAGAAAATTCCTTTTTATGGAATGGCTGAGAAAAACGCCGAATTCTTTATCTCTACAACGGAACTCGCATTCGGAATCGTGAATCGCATTTGAAAGCTTCGTATTACGGAAGCCCGGTCGTGCAATCTGTCCTTGCGTTCGGTATTTTGCTCAAAGAGCAGAGCGTGCTGAGCGGAGCCGTGGTCACGTGACCAGCGAGCGAACAGAGCAGTTGAACGCTGTGTCAGAGTGACAGAAATTTTAATAAACGAACGCGAATGAGCCTGCACCGAGTACTTTTTTTAAATAAACGAAGGGTAAATTCAAGCTCGGAGTACTCAGATCAAAATACCGAACGCACGGTGTGTTCCGAGTTCTTAGTTCATAGTTCTGACGTCACAACTCGGAATTTCTGATTTACTACGTCACAACTCGGAATTTCTGATTTACTACGTTGGAAGTCCGTTATCGATGTTATCCTTGAGAATTGTTGAATTGTAAATAGTAACCTAAAAATTAGGTGTCCGGTTCTATTGTTTTTATTTGCATTTGCGATGTGAAATTTAACAAAAAAAAACAGCATTGCAAAACCTTAAACATTCTAGATGAAGCAGATAACCATCATTTTAGAGGCCTGTGTCCTCTGGCTCTCAGATATTTAAAATAATTGATTCACGAATTTCTACCAAGCCGTCTCATTTGAGACCATCAACATTCAATTCTTTGATTAGATATATAAGATGCTCTTGCCTTTAGTCGGGGATCAGACTGCCGAAAAGACGTCTCCTACACATCGAACTGTGCACTCGAAGATATACGATTTAAAAAATATGTACAGGGTGGAGAATGACCTTGCGGATCTAAATCCGGAGGGCTCCATTAAATTCGTAATTGCAATTAAGAAAAAAAAAATATTTTCCGACTATTTTGAATTATCGTAAAAAAGCTATTTTTTGTGTTTAACTCATGATTGTGACGCCATTTTTCAATATTGTTTCAAAATTCTTGAACCAATTGAAAGCCTAGTTATTGTAGATTTTACCTGCATGTGCAAAAAACTATTTTTTTTTTAACTGAATTTGTCAGATTACGTAAAAGAAGGTGCGGTACCAAAACTGAATTGAAATTTTCAGCATCGAGAAAATTTTTGAACAGTTGAAGATAAATATATGATCAATCGACGAAAAATGTGCCTAAATAAGTGAGGAAGTTTTTGGTGAAAATAAATTTGCACTAGTGGTATTGCGAGATACGATTTTTTTTGTGAAACGCCGATGCGCGCCGGCCGCTGCCGTTTCAACGGAGACCTACTCGGTCCGACCTATATACTTCAATAACTCGGTTATTCGATCACAACCTGTAGGAAATGGAAGAACTATTCAACTATTTATTCCGTTTTAATAATTGTTTCGTTAAAGTACGCAATGGATATGGACGAAATATAGGTAACCGCCTTCTCAAGAATATCGTCATGATTGCCGCTGGAATGGTAGAAAATACCTACACTACTTCACTATCTTCAATTTCAATTTATTAACAACAAACTTTAGGTAAAATCTAGTTTTTTATTAATTAAGTCAACATTACATAATGTTAGCAATACAATGTAACACAAATTTTTGACTTAAGATTCTGTTTAAAAAAAAACAGACTTTTTAAATTATATGGTATAGGTACCTCAGCAAATACTTCGAAAATTTGCTATTATCCAATAATCCAATACTTGTCAAACCTACAGTAGATACTATCAAATAATAATAGAGTCGGCCGATATCGACATATTTGTTGTCTCTCTCCTTTATTACAAAGGTTATCCATTCAGGAATTATGGCTACACAAATTTGAAACATAATACCTGATGGATTTTTTTTTTTGAAAGTTTTTATTACAGTATTCTTTTTTACATTACATATCTTACATAATAATAATTCTCTAATCAGTACACAGAAGCACTGGCCTCGAGAATATTAAACCTATAATACAGTGCTATGCTATATTTGATGAATTTGTCCTAAACAATTCATAGTTTATGACATTAAAAAAAATACATATATATTATTTATTTATTTAAGCAGAAAAAAATTGCTTCAGATTACTCAAAAAAGAGCTGTAAGTATTCATGTTTTTTATGTTAACAGGTAAGTTGTTAAATACTATAGAAGCCTGAGTGATAGGATTGTACATACCAATGTTTGTTCTATTTGGAAGTCTATAGATATCATTTACAATTCTAGTGTTATAGTTATGAACTTCATTTGACATTAATATATAAGAATTACTTTTTTGATGGTGATTCAATATCCTATAGATGAGTTTACATTGTTCAATTTTAAGCAGTATGTCTATTTTATGAAATTTTAATTCATTGTATAGTACCTCAGTACTCGTGAGCCTATCATATTTATACAATGCCTTCAATATTTTACTTTGCAGGACTTGTATTTTGTTGAAATTTGTTATACCACATGTACCCCAAATGGGTAGCAAGTAACGAAGATGGGATAAAAAGAAAGCATTGTATACCATTGACCTTGTTCTAAGAGTTAAATAATCCCTACACTTGTACAGGGCACATAGCATGGGAACAATCTTATTATTCACATGACATATATGATCCGCCCAGTTTAGCTTATCATCAATTATTAATCCTAAATACTTTATTTTTGAAACTTGCTCTATTTTTACATTGTTAATTTTAATTTCAATTTCTTTTATGATTTTATTTTTTTGTTTAAATATCATACATTTAGTTTTGTCAATATTGATTTTAAGTTTGTTTGAATAAAGCCAATCCACATACCTCTCCAGGTCCCTGCCGATCTCCCCACACAGTTCGTCTTCATTATCACCAACATAGACCAAAGCAGTGTCATCCGCAAATGTGAAATAGCGCCCTTTGAGATTTGCACATTTTAAATTAAGAACGTAAAGTGAGTACAGCAGCGGCCCGAGGACCGACCCCTGGGGAACACCGAATTTATTTGTTTTTTTTTCACTATTAACACCATTTGTTTTAACATATTGTTTTCTACCTATAAGAAAAGTTTTAATAAGGTTATTCATAATTCCTGTAATTCCCATGTTCTCTAGTTTGTTTACCAGTATATCTAAACTAACCACATCAAAAGCTTTTCTCAAATCTACAAAAATTACGGCAACTATTTTCTTGGTATCCAGGGCCTTAGATATATTATTCACAAAGTCAATGGTGGCGCTCAATGTACTGCTATTTTTTTGGAAACCATACTGGTACTCATCCACAGATATATTTCTATTTATGAATGGTAATAAGCGTTTCTTGATTAGTTTCTCGAGAATTTTTGAGAAAACACTCAACACCGATATTGGCCTATAGTTATTCATATATTTTGGATTGCCTGATTTGAAAATTGGACTTATTTTACTGATTTTTAATTCTTCTGGAAAGATGCCATTCTGTAAAACTGTATTAATTAATTGGACTAGCATCTCCACCAAAATTTCTCGTAAATTGATTAGATCTTTTACAGTAACTTCATCACAACCCGCTGCAGCATCTTTTTTTAAGTCCAATATGATTTCCATAATTTCATCGCGATCAGTAAGGTCAATAGAAACATTATTCTGAGATACAACTTCCTCAAATAGGGGTATGTCATTAGCTCTCATTATACTAATTTCATTATTGAGTTCTTCAACAATGGAATCACCAACCTTCGAAAAATATTCATTTAAATTATTAACTATACACTGTTGATCATAGATTTCCAAGTTATTTATTGCTAGACAATTTATCTTTGTTTCACCATTGCTATCCTT